GTGCTCACCTGTCAGCAGGCGTGCGGCGGGTGGGGGACCCTGGTGAACCCCACGGGGCTTGCACTGTGCCCCAAGACCGGACGGGTGGTGGTCGTGCACGACGGTAAGAGGCGGGTCAAGATCTTTGACTCCGGAGGAGGAGGTGCACACCAGTTTGGAGAGAAGGGAGACGCAGCGCATGACGTGAAGTACCCACTGGATGTCGCCGTCACCAACGACTGCCACGTGGTTGTCACCGACGCTGGCGACCGCTCCCTCAAAGTGTTTGATTTCTTCGGCCAAATCAAGCTGGTTGTGGGAAAACAGTTTTCCCTGCCTTGGGGTGTGGAGATCACCCCTCAGAATCTGGCCCTGGTGACCGACGCAGAGGCAGGGACCTTGCACCTGCTGGAAGTAGATTTCCCCGAAGGGGTCCTTCGGAGGATCGAGAGGTTGCAAGCTCAGCTTTGCAATCCCCGTGGGGTGGCTGTGTCTTGGCTCACCGGGGCCATCGCGATCCTAGAACACCCCTGGCCCTTGGGGACAGCAGGTGACAACACAAGGGTGAAGGTGTTCAACTCCACCATGCAGCTGATTGGCCAGGTGGATAGCTTCGGGCTGAACCTCCTCTTTCCTTCTAAAATAACTATCTCAGCTGTAGCCTTCGATCACCAGGGAAATGTGATTGTAGCAGACACCTCTGGGCCAGCCATCATTTGCTTGGGGAAACCCGAGGAGTTTCCAGCCCTGAAGCCCATGGTCACTCATGGTCTTTCTCGTCCTGTGGCCCTGGTCTTCACCAAGGAGAATTCTCTTCTTGTGCTGGACACTGCATCCCACACTATAAAAATCTTTAAAGTGATGGAGGGTAACGGAGGGTGATGGGATCTGAGGCCTGGTGTCATCAGGAGTGAATTGCACCCTGGATGAGTCACCATCACTCATTCGCCCAGGCAGGAATAATGGTAACTGCTTGACAGAAGTGTTGGGTGTGAGGCAGTTATAAAGGACTACTCATTAGACTTGTCATTTAGTGGATGCCTAGTCCCAATGTTAAGGAATTTGCAGATCTTAGTTCATTTGCCCCTTAACACACAGCGATGTGATTTCTATTATTAGTCCCATTTTAGAGACGAGAAAGCAGATCCAGAGAATTTAATATGATATTTTTTCGAGGCATATTTACTGGGACAGTCACAATTAAACTCAATTCTGACTCCAAATCCCTTGCTCTTAAATATGATGCCAGATGTTTTTTTTTTTTAAAAAAAAGTGAGCATGTCTTAGATATGCTCTCCCTACAAGTAACTCAATAACTGGTTGTGTGCACGAAGAAAGGGGTCTCCATGGAGTTCTCAGGAGAAAAAGGATTCTGTGTGGGTGTCATCTGGGAGCCCTCCCCAATGGCAGAGTAGATGGATCGTTACCAATACCAAGAAACACAGTTGAGCTCTTTCCTTATAAGGCAAAGGTTGCTTGGTTGGTAGTGTATGCCAATAATCTCAGCACTCTGGAAGGTCTGGAGTTCGATCCTATCTACAGCTACCTAGTTTGAAGCTTGTGCTACATGACAATGTTTTTTGTTTGCTTGTTTTGTTTTGTAAATTGGTGTCAGCGTTTCCTCCTCCACAGGCACAGGGGGACATCCCTGAGTGATGGTCTGAGCAAAACCTGTAGAGCCACTGTCTGCTAGTGGCATGGACAGATGAGACTTCTGTTAGGAGATGTCGCCCCGACATATTCGTGGCAGGAATGAATTTGTTTACTGTGTGGTAATCTGTGCCGCCTAATGTGCTTTGTGATGAAAGTTTTCTCTGTGCACTTTGAAATGGGAGTCAAACACTGTCTAGTCAATAAACAGTTAGTTCCCTTGTCATTTTAGAGCTCTGTAAACATGTCTTGCACTGAAGCATAACCTTGGCCCACATAAGGGCTCCTTAATGCTGCAATTAAGGAAAGGAATAGGAGGAAATTTGGGGTGAAGTGTGGATCCTCTGTATGTTTTATTTATTTATTTCTAAGCAAGTGTAAAAGTCTTCGTTGTTCGGGGCTGTTGAAATTATAGCAAAATAACGTAAACCTCTACAGCAGCAGGGAAATGTTTTCTGGGGGATGCTCTCGGAAAGTGACAGTTTGCTGCAGATAACAACGGATGCTTTGTCAGCAAAATGGTATTCTTTTATACAAAGAGGCTGTTTGTTTTTGAGACAAGGTCTTGTATATCTTAGGTCGGCCTTGGACTTGTTCTGTAGCCAAGGATGACCTTCAACTTCTGATCCTCCTGTATCCATCTCCCAAGTGCCAGCTTACAGGCACTGAAACGCCCAGGGTTCTGTGGTGCTGGAGGTAGAGGGAACCCAGGGCTTCCTACATGCTAAGCAAGCCCTCTGCCAACTGAGTTACATCATAGCCCTCCAAAGAGTTTTAAGAGAGCTGTATCCACTGAAGACCACCTCAAAAAGTATGAGTGAGATATCCAAAGTGAAAGCCTAGCTCCCATGCCAGTTCATAGAAGTCCATCTTGCTTTTTAAAAACGTTTTGATATTTATTTATTTGTGTGTGTGCATTAATGTGTATGTGTGGGGGTGCATGTGCCATCACGTGCGTGGAGGTCAGAGGACAACCTGAGTGAGTCTGCTCTCTTCTGCTTCCTGAGTCCCCGGGGATTGATCTCAGGTCATCAGGCTTGGTGGCAAGCACCCTTACTCACAAATCATCTTCCTCCTCTCCCCTCCCCCGCTGCTTTCATTGCTTCCATCACATAGCATCAATAGTAACATCTTGGGCACCCCAAACATCGTTGGTCCTTAGAAAGCTGAGGCCAGCCTGGGCTGCATAGTAAGACCCTGCCTCTAACAAACCAACAAACAAATGAAACAAATTATCACTGGTGGATCAGTGACTTCACAGCCATTTTGAATGTGTACCAGGGAAACTTCCACAGTGAAAGATGAGTTCAATGGCAAGGAGGGTAACTATGGATTGATCTTATGTTTTCCTTCAGAACCACGGCATTTTAATAATGGTAGTGTTCATTGACCCAATTCAAAAGATTTTTAAAAAACTTATCAATCACATCTTTTAGTCTACACTCTGTGTCTTTTTAAGAGGGCTTATACAGAAAACAGGGTGGTCTGTGAGGAATTGCTCGGCACCAGGTGGAGAATCAGGTGTGGGTTTGTGACATGGTGCCGGAATACCCTGGAGATGTGATGACTATAGCTGGTACTCTTTCTTGGGAGTAGGGTGGATCAGAGAGCACAGCAAGAATTATCTAGGGCAGATCTTTCTGTGGGTCGGTGTGATACGGAGCTGTTTGATTCTTCATCTCCAAGCATCCTTGGCTGAGGGACTCATGTCACCAACTTGTGATGTAGATATAAATGTTGTCTTCTATGCTGTGTCTTTAAAGCAAGCTGGAGTCCAGGTGGTTAAAGATGTTGGTTGAAGAGTTCTCTGGTATTCAAGAAGAAATGGCCCAGGCAGATCATATAGGGTGCCAATGTGGTGGAGGAGAGAGGAAACGAGACCAGAGACTATGCCCAGGAGTAAAGAGTGAAAGAACAAATTCTTCCAGGACACCAGCCATGTGCCATCTTGTGAGACCACAGAAGCAAACACAGCGCCCCCCACCTCCCTGTAAGCTGACTTTGACCTCTGCTCTCTAGACCTGGTTTTCCCCATCTTTTGCCTTTGGCATCTTCTAAGGATGGTTCAGAATCTTAACTCTCTCTTCTAGCAACCCTAGCTTTGGTGCCGAGGGCTCAAACCTCAAACTTGGTAGGTCCTTGTTTAGCCCTGTCGGGGATCCACTTGGAAAGAATTCAGACCCCTCTGGAGATTAACTATATGAACCTTTTGAGGAAGAAGTGTAATCCCATACACATCAGAAAAATGAGCAAGAACCGTCGATGCTCACAGATGTAATGTTCCTTATGCTTGGTACAGACAAAAGAAATACATCCTGGGGACAAGCCAGATCACAGTGAGAAGTCTCTAGGCAGAGAAAGGGAAACTAGTGGAAGTGGAGGACTTGGGTGAGGATGCATTTGTTGTGAGATAATCTTTTTGTACACTGTGAAGATGTGTCTACCTAAGGTGTCTTCTGGTTGGTTTAATAAAGAGGTGAATGGCCAATAGCTAGGCAGGAGAGAATAGGTGGGACTTCCCGGGGCAGAGAAGGGAAGAATCTGAGCCATGCAGAATTAAGCAAGAGAGATGTAGATTGAGTCAGGCCTATGGTATGGAGGAGAGGTAACGAGCCACATGGCAGAATGTAGATTAATATAAATGGGTTAATCTAGGTTATAAGACCTAGTTGGGAACACGCCTAAGCTAAGACCAAACATTCACAATTAATAAGAGGTGTCTGTGTCATTATTTGGGGACTGGTGGTCCAAAGAAAGTCCAACAAGAAAGACTTGTTACATGCATTGGCAGGCCCAAAAGGTGGCTCAGCCAGTGAAGGCACTTGTCACCAAGCTTAACTGTCTGGGTCAGATTCCCAGGTCCCACATGATGGAAGGAAAACATTTAATTAGGTGGTTTACATTTTCAGAGGTCTAGTCCATTATCATGGCAGGACATGGCAACGCGAAGGCAAATATGGTGCTGGAGAAGGAGCTCCATCTTTATCCACAGGCAACAGGAAGTGAACTAAGACACTGGGTGTGGCTTGAGCATATATGAGACCTCAAAGTCCACCTCCACAGTGACACACTTCCTCCAACAAGGCCATATGTACGCTACCAAAGCCACACCTCCTAATAGTGCCACTCCCCATGAGCTCATGGGGACCAATTATATTCAAACCACCACACCTGGCCCAAGGGTCAGGCTTCCCATACCCAGCTCAAAAGTTAGACTAGTTTGCTGATCTGTTTGTAGACAATTGGACTTAAACCTACAAGTTTGGGTGCCAAAAATAAGAAACTAAATCTGAACTCTTCCATGAACACAATCTTAGTGTCCCTGAGACCAGAGCACAACTGGGAACTCCTATGCTATGGGTCTAAGTAGTTGTTATAAAATAAGACACACTGATCCTCCTACTTTGGCAAAGGTAAATATAAAATTTAATGATACACTCTCATTGTGATATGAAAGCCAAATTACAGTTTTGTATACCTGGAGGCTTTCTACAACTTGAATATGCTGCATTTTAAGAAAATTGTGGTGATGCACACCTTTAATCCTAGCATTTGGGAGACTGAGGCAGGAAAATCTCAAGTTCCAAGCCAGCTTGAACTCCATAGTAAGACCCAGTCTCAAACAAACTAAAACATACAAAACTTAAGCCAAGCTGAAATGTATTTAAAGCTAGGAAGAATCGACAGGCTTCATTTTCTATCAATTTTTAACTAGAATGTAATGCCTCATGAATGACATTTGTGCTATTCAAAGCTGTATCTCTTATTATGACACATTGTAGGCATTCATTTTTGAATTAGTGTATTTTTCCCAAAGAAATTTTCTAGACTCTGTTTTCCACTCACTGATAAAAAGTGAAGACAAGTAGGCAGCTAGCGACCTTGGAGAAATGGATTAAAAGTAAGGTAGTCTATGGTAGGTTTGCTGGATGACTCAGAGGTGCAAAGGCACTGTGGTGACTTTGTGGTAGCTGGGCTTGGCTTGGTATGAAGAACTTTGCATTTATAGTCACCATGTTTTCTTTCTTCACCCAAGTACTAGGATGCTGAAGTCTTGGAGTTACCTGAGACTCACATCCTTGGTCAAACCTCAGGCAACTAGAGGCAGTACCCCTGGTTAGCTTTTCCATGTCAGAAAGTGATTTCAAACAACTCTAGAGGCCAAAGGAACTCAGTGCTCATAGGTCATGTGCCTGGCCATGCTTGAAGCATTGCTGAAGTCACCTCCAAGTTAATTTTGGCAAATACCGGATGCATAAAGTGGCTTCTGCCTTTCTCAGGGATGATCCACTGAGGAAGCCTGGCATTTGCTGACTGCAGGCTGCAAACATAACACACAGTGTGTCCATTACTATAGCTGACCAGCAGTGCCCATTTTACTGAAAAGTGATGACATCCCAGGGGTAATCTGGCTAGAGATTAATGGCTTGACAAATAATGACATAAAAACAGCAATAGGGAAAATCTAAAGCCATTTACAAACTGTGCTTCAAGCCACTTAGTTTCAGGAATGGAAAGAAATTACAGTGTTTTCTATTACAGCAGAGGCCTATAGAAACAAACTGGCTGAGGGCACAGTTAAGGGAAGAATTAACCAGAAATATGCTCCAGTTTGCCCAATCCAGTGGGAGAGGATTTGAAAGTCAATAGCTGAGAACACACACACACACACACACACACACACACACACACACACACACACACAAACACACACACACACCTTGATCTTTGCAATTCCCCTATGGACTTTCATTGCTCCATAGCATCTACTAGGATGTCTTACTGTGTGTTTCTCAATTAACAACCAAGTTTGTACACAAAGTGGCCCAAGAGAACACTGCTATTTTCCACAGTTTGACCATAACCGTGAGGCCATTCTCTGTAGTTGTTTCATATGTAAGCCTTTATGGGCCCAGAAGCATAGGACTGAGTCCCTACTGTGCCAGTTCTACTCCATGGTCATCAGATATAGTCTGTGCTCATATAGTCACAGAAAAGAGGCTGTGTCTGCAAGAAGCCCATTAAAGAACTTAATGTGACTAGCATGTTACAATGCTTGCATGACTTTACAAAACAATCATTTGTTTGATCTTTACAACATGTGTTGAAGTAACCAAGTTTTCTCAAGTTGACTTTTTAGGTGGAGAAACTGGGGCTCACAAAAATTGAGTGACTGCCAAAGATAACATAGCTGAACCCTGTTGATTTGGAAGAATAGGTAGGTTTTTTTTTTATTTAAAATTATTTTATGTGTGTGGATGTATTCCTATGTCTGCATGTGCTTTGTATCTTGTGTGTGCAGTGTCCATGGAG